AATGTACCTTCCTCCTAAGATGTTTGTGAGGTTTAAAGGAGATAACCTGTGTAAAGCAGGCAATACAGTGGCAAGCACATAGTGATTACTCAATAAATGATAGCTGCTGTTGTTATGAGAACGAGAGTAGGTTGCCTGGGCTCACCTTGTTCTCTCTAAACCTCTGATTAACAAGCCTGCTGCATCTCTCTCTCTCTCTCTCTCTCTCTCTCTCACACACACACACACAATACCCCTATACCCATTACAGCAAAATCTTTCACAACAAATCTCTCATCAGTAATTTTTGAAGCTCCCCAAGTGATTCTAATGTGCACCTAGGCAGAGAACCACTTCTATAGACCCTTTCCACATCTTCCCTTTCTCTCTCTTTCCTGGCCCAGCTATCACCGTTCTCCAGGCCTACAAGAAATAGTCAGGATTCTCCTTTGTTTTCCCCCATTTTATTATAAGCATAGCATTTTTGGTCTCTATGACTCACCCCTGCTTATCTAGGCTTTGCCTAGGGGGCCTTGGCTTTCTCATCAAAATTTTCTTGTAGGTGTTCTCTGCTCCAGCCATGAAGTACAAGAGAGTATATTCAGTTGTTGCTTTAAATAACATACTTTTTTTACAATAGCAAAAAGTGACTATAATTCTCCCCAAATTGGGTTATCATCTAAGTTCCTGCACATGTTCCTTCCAGACTAGAACTGGATTAACGATTCCAACTGTGGAACTCAAGAAGCTGGAAGCCACTGGAGCACAACCTAGCAATATACTTGAAATACGTATAATAAAATATTTCTGCAGATCTTAAGGGGTTTACAGCCTTGGCTGCATATTAGAATTATCTGATGATCCTTATAACCTGGCCCAAATCCCGGCTCACTCCGAGATTCTAATTTCATTGCTCTGGAGTTTCTGCATGTGTGCATCAGTATTTTTTTAATCCCCTCCCCCCGCTCCCCCAGATGATCCAGTGAGCAGGCACTGACCTCTGGAACCTGCTCTAATCTCTTCACTTTTCTCTCCCACCCACCATCAGTCACTGCCTTAATTTTGTGTTTCCCACACTGCCCTATTAAAAAAAATCACTTAGGATGCCTCAAGTTCCTAGGCCCCACTCCAGGCTTACTGAATCAGAATCTCCAAGGAATTTTTTTTTGACAGGTGCCTCAGTAAGTCTTACCAGCAAATGTGGGAAACACTACATTTAATCCAAATGATCTTAGCCCATTTTTAGTTGATTCATATGTACTTTATTCATTTAAAAAATATTTAATGAGAACTTAATAGATGCCCAACATTGTTTTTGGTGCTAGAAACGCAGCAATATAACAAATACCGTATCCTAACGGATGTTATGCCTAGAGCATGTCTTCAGTAAACAGTAAACGGTTTAATTTCAGATAGTGGTAAATCATAAAGACTATAGATCAGGATAAAGGGCTAGAAGGTGCAATGGAGGTGAGGCAGGCCATTGTTTTTAAAAGGGGAGCCAGGTTTTGAGAAGTTGCATCTGAACAAACTACTGAACGAATTCCATTGCAGTTCTATCACTTATAGCATTTTCAATCTATATGTTGTCTCATGTCCCCTAAATAAGACGGGATTTTCTTCAAGTCCAGGGACTTTTATATTTTTGTATCCTCCCACAGCAACCAGTGTAGTGCTTTGCAAAAGCAAGAACTCAGTGAATAACACTAGACTCAAAAGCATTTCATTTTTAAATATACCATTAAAGACTCAGCCAGCAGAGGACCTGGCAAAATTATCTGCTCGCTAAGTAAAAGAAAATCCAAGGAAACACATTAAATCATCAGACACTCGGCCCAAGGCTAGACTTATTGCTTACTCCCAGCTGCTAGCCATCAGGTTTTCAAAACTTATCAAGATCTGGTCATCACTGCATGATTCTACATTGGTGAGATCAGACACTGAGCTTCAATTATCAGGTTTGCTGGCTTACCATTTATGATGTAATTTCTTGTCATTTATAGTCAACTTCCCCGCAACTTCTTACCACTGTCTCTGCATGCCTTCAAATTCCATTTAGCCCCCATTTAGGATAACCAGCTGAGTTCTGCAGAAGGCCACTGGATCCTATGATATCTCTAAAGGCCAAAGAAGACTCTTTAATACATTTGAAAATCCTCAAAAGTTTTAGTAAAACCAATTCAGGCATCTGGGGATGGTTTATCACAGTTCCATCTTGGGATGGACACGGCTTTAAGGGAGGCTTTCCATTTCTTGCAGGGTTATCTTGTTCTTCCAATGCTTTCCTTGAACCAAGACAACACAGTAAGTCCTGGAAGGCTGACCCAGGAGGCAACATCATTTGGTGGGGAAACTCCTGAATGAGGAATAGTGAAACCAATGTGTTTCCTACCAATTCTGTAACCGATTTGCTGTTTGACCTGGGCAAGTTACTTGACTTCTTGGAGCCCCAGGACCCTTGGTTATAAGATACAACATTCCTTTCTCTGATGACACTCAGGATTATCAAAAACACCAAATGAAATTAATGAAAGGAGAAAGCACTTTAGAGCATGATAATTGCTGTGACATTATAGCATATCGTTATAACCAAAGTAATTCATCGAGTTCTTATATTTGATATAATAAGTATTCACATCTTTTCAGCTTTTCATTTCTGCAGTGAAACTTCAGAAGATTCTGCCAGGAGCTGTATTTTTTGATAAGTTCTCCTTACTTATCTTTGCTTTTCCTACTTTCTTTCAAGGATGTGCTTGGATAGTCCTCCTTTTGGAGTGAAGTCCTTTAGTGAAGTCCGTTAGTGGGATCCATCCCAAATTCGAATTGCTATAAATGGCTGCCATTTGCCCCTTGAATTGTCATTTGGCTCAGTCAGTTAGTTGGCCTTTAGCATTTTCCATCTTGTTGGTTAGTTAGGTTCTGGGTGCAGGGACTACATCTGTAACTACAGTGTCTTTCTTTGAGGTCAGGGAATGTGATTTATATCTCTTTTCATCCTTAACTCAAGCAATAAATTTTTGTTAACAGTGACTTTTGGCCATTGTACTGGATGGAATAGTGTCCCCCACAACTTATGTCTTTGCACATGTAATCGTGTTAAGATGAGTCATACTGAATTAGAGTGGCCATAAATCCAATGTCTTGTATTTATGAAAGAAAAGAGAAATGTGGATACAGAGGAGACACAGGAGAAGAAGGTCATGTAATGACAGAGGCAGAGATGTAAACGATGCAGCTGCAAGCCAAGGAATGCCAAGGATCGCCAGCAACCACCAGAAGCTAGAAAAGGCAACTTTCTTCACCGCAGAAGGAGCATGGCCCTGCCAGCACCTTGATTTCAGGCTTCTAGACTCCAGAACTGTAAAAAAATAAATTTCTGCTGTTTTAAGTCCCCCTGTTTGTGGTCATTTGTTACGGCATCCCTGGGAAACTAATACCTGGGAATGCTAATCATACTGTCGTGTTTAGCAGAGGCTTTCTGGGGCCACCAGCCAGCCTTGGACAACTGCTTTCTGAAGACCTGTGGTGCTGGTCAGAGCAAGTTTTTAAGGGAAGGAAGGAACTAACTGAGGGCAGTGGACGGA